ATATATATATATATATATATTATTGATTAAGCGAAAGTTTCCTTTAAAACAATATTTGAACAATACAAAGAGTATGAAAAGAGTGTTAGTTTTTGTTTCTAAAAAATTTGAAGGAATTTGATGCCAAATGTCTTAACTTGTGTTGTAGTCGTCCGGACGCCGCACTTAGATATGATGAACCATTGATGTCAATTAACTTTATTTGGAGTTAAGCTTCTTTACTGGCTGAAACTACAAGCCCACAATCTTTTAAAATATATATAAAAAAAATTGATTGTTTTCTAATACAATTATTGCATACAGTCTTTGTGGCAATTACAGTAACAATGACATAGAGAAAAAAGTTTCTTAAAGCTGAAGTTGTTAAAGTCATACTTACATTCTAAAATATCGTAATAAATACTTAACGGATCGATCGACAACAATAATTCTTGAGAATGGTATATAGGAGAGTATTGATTCTTAAAACTTGGTAACCAACTTTGCTTCAAAAAATGTTATGAGAGGCTTGTGATTTATGTAACTATGAAAGATTATATATCGTATTATCGATTTTTTTATCGAATTTATCAATTTATCGTAGCACGAATTTTTTTTGTTTATATATAAAAAGATATATTTATGACCCATTTTATTTTTTGCATAAGGTCCTTAAAATCAATAAGACGGTTATGTAGTTTAGCTACAATGAGTTTAATAAAATTGAGATTTTCTAATACATGTCGTAAAGGCACAAATAAGAAATATTAACTATGAAAAATATTACCGTAATTAAACGTGAGATACGTTAATTTTATGTAATATTTCTCAATTAAAAGTGTGAAATACATTAATTATGAAAAATATTTCGTATAATTATTGTATTTCACATTTAACTATGGTAATATTTTACAAAATTAATGTTTTTTATAGTTGACCTTAAAACACATATTAGAAACTCTAAAGTAATATTTCATCATTACGTATATCACTGTACGTAATGTTATCATAATATTGAGAAATTTCACGTTCGAATATGAACAAATATGTTACTCCCTCCGTCCCAAAATAATAGTCCACAGATAAAAAACATACAGTTTAAGAAAACATTAATTACCATTAACTTTATTAAATGAAATGACAGTTTTACTCTTCTGTTGCATTTAATTTTATGGTAGTTGCATTTAATTTTATAGTAACTTAACTAATAATGAGGGGTATTATGGTAAAAGACATATTTATTTTTAGAATTAGACAATTATTTTGGGACAAACCAAAAAGGAAACATGGACTATTAATATGTGACGGAGGGAGTATTATATAAATTGTTAAAAAATATTTCTTTTTATTTCCCTTTTATATAATAGGAGCATGGAAAGTTCAACGTCAACGCTAATTAATGTTGAAATCTAGAGTATGGTCGCATCCTGAAATAAAGTATACGTATAAAATCCAGAGTATTATTTAAAGAATATTCATTAAGATCATACATTATGTAACGTGTTACATGAGGTATAT